TTGCAGAGCTTTACATTATGGATATGTTTCTTCCTATTACCTCATTTGTGTGCTGGTTTTTGACTATACAGGATGCACGTCATCCCAAATTGTCAACTGCTGCAGTTTTCGTGAAGAAGCTGCATGATCTTGCAGGCATGTTTGATGTTTGCTGCTATGTTACAAAACTTGATTAAAATTTTCATGTTAAAGTTCTAAGGACATAACATTTCTCTTAATGCTGCAGTTCAGAAGAAGGGTTATGTAGATCTGCATGAGATGGCAAAGGAAGATGCTTCATTTTGCCACTACGGATCCACTCTACCAAAAGATTCAACTTGTAATTTGCCTTGCAGTTGGACTGAAACAGATCCTTCTACTTTTCTTATTCGTGGAGAGACCTACCTAGATGATCGTAAGAAGGTGAAGTCTCATTGTTGATTCAGCTTTCATGCTTACCTTATTATAAACATCTTTGGATTCAATTTTTTGGGGGTCTCATTATTGATAGATCTTGGAATTTTGGAATGGTTCCCATTGTTTTATTGACATCTACTGTTTGGTTTTCGTGCTGACTAATAATTAAGGTCTGAGAGTTACCTTCTAATCAGTACATGTTAACATCATGCAGAACATGCTATACCACAAGTCACAACCAAAAGTTAGTCTATCTGTATCAAAGAAAACACCATTACTTTATTTTCATGTTTTTGACACATGTGCAAATTGGCCTAACGGCAAACAAACTCTAGGTAGAGATCTTGAAAATTCCTGCATGCTTCTTGGCTAGATGTCTGCTATGCTGGAGAGCATGTGGGATTCCTGATGTTATTGTCTTATTAATGTCAAAAAATTGACAAGTATGCTACTGTATTTCAGAATCTTGGTACTTTCTCGTGATATCTTGCCGTTTAATCATTATCTCTCCTATGCAGATCAAGGCTAAAGGTACCTTAATGCAAATGGTGGGTGCGGATTGGTTGAAGTCTGACAAACGAGAAGATGATCTTGGTGGTCGACCTGGAGGAATTGTTCAGGTTTCTTCTGTTATTCAATGAAAATACAGTGATCATATTCTTTAATCCCTATGAGCCTCCTGCTCACTATCTTTTCTCTGCAGAAATATGCAGCAAAGGGTGGTCCGGAATTCTTCTTCATTGTGAACATACAGGTATGCAATCTATTGTTCACTTCATATACTTTGATTTCCTATTAAGCTGCTACCCAAATTCTTCATTTTGATGGTTTGTCACTTGTATTCAGGTCCCAGGTTTAACAACATACACTCTCGCTCTCTACTATATGATGGATACCCCTTTAGAGGATTCACCTTTGCTGGAGAGTTTTGTCAAAGGAGATGATGCTTATAGAAACTCGAGGTTCAAGCTCATACCATACATATCCAAGGTTTGGTTTTGCTAATTGGAAGTGGACAAAATTACTTTCCATATAAGGATTTAACATTTTATTTCTGTGAGTTGCTTAGTCTATTTAGCAAAAGGTTATGGCACATCAACATTCATGCAGCATGTGACTGGTCCATATCATTGTACTTCTCTTATGTTCCTTCTCACGTATGTAGCATATAGTAGGTAGTGTGCTCATGTTTTAGCAAAAGCTAAATGTCTTATTTGGGTTTTTTAGCAGATGAGTTTTCACAAAAATGTTGAAAGGCAACCAACATTATGTTACCCACAACTTAGTCCTCGTTCTAAGAAAATGATAGGCAACTTTGAAATAAACAGAAACCCGTTTAAATGGGTTCTTATTTATAATGGGAAATCCTTAAGCAAGCAAATTTAATACCCCCTCTATTCCACTAAAAAGCTACAATTTCAGTTTCTCAAGGGCTCAAATTGAGCAAATCTACAACTAGATCCCCAATTGATTAATTTGTTTTCTGCAAATGTAACTATACCTAGAAACAACAGTAATGAATATTAACAACGGTAAGTCTTTCAATTTCAAGGGTAAATTTATATCATGGCCAAAGAAATTTGTTTGGAGCCTAGAGAAATGCAGAAGGTTGTCTAGGAAGACACAAGGATGCTGCACGCTTAGGTTATTATTCAGAAACCCATGTATCTTTAGAGTCTTGCTTTCCATGCAGAAGATTGTAACGTGTTATGGTAGTTATTTGCATTTTGGTTTTACAGTTTTCTTTTGTTAGCATTTCTGTTGGTATTTTGAACATGTCTCATCCATTTCTGTCACAGCTGATGGGATACTTAGAAATATTTGATCAATTAAAGTACTGTGGGTATTCAATTGAGCATTTGCTTTTCAGGGATCATGGATAGTCAAGCAGAGTGTTGGGAAGAAAGCTTGTCTTATTGGTCAAGCGCTAGAAATTAATTATTTTCGTGGAAAGAACTACATAGAGGTAAAATACAAGAGTATTTTGGCACTAAATGATGCATAGTGTTGTTCTAATTTTAGTAACTGATGCTCACTGCAGTTGAACATTCTACAGTTTAAGGATTTTTGAAAATTACCACTGTGGTAAATGTTGAATAGTTTGTCTTTTGGAAAAAAATAGTATCCTATATCTTGTTTACAATCTTGAGAAGTATAAGTGGAACCCGAATCGAATATTGACATAAATCACTATGTGAACCTGAAGAGTGATGTTGTAATTTCAGCTTGGTATCGATATTGGCTCATCTACTGTGGCAAGGGGTGTTGTCAGCCTTGTTGTTGGTTACCTAAACAATCTAGTCATTGAGATGGCCTTTCTTGTCCAGGTAAAGTTCCATATCCTTATTCTCCATCTAGACAAACAGTTTAACTCGCAATCTGTGTTCTACCAATTTGCAAGTTTGTGATGATCATTTTGTTGATATGAGTTTTACTAAAGCATAGTGACTATCTTTCTCCACAGGCCAACACGCCCGAAGAACTCCCTGAATATCTTCTAGGTACCTGCCGTCTTAACCATCTGGACATTTCTAAAGCCGTACAAGTGAAACCTTGATCTTTGTATAATCTCAGTTGATTTTCTAAACATTCAAGTGTATTTTAGGTTAGTCCATATGCTTACAGGAAGGTAGGGTTATTCATTTGCACAGGAAACATGAATGTCACCAACTTTAAACTGCAAGAACTTTTGTAAAGTGACTAGTGGATGTCCAATTCTTTGATTCAATCGAAAGCCACACCAGCGGAGTGCTGCATTTATTGTTAATTGTATAGTCCACAAAACAATACCTTGGTGTAACTGGTAAAATTGCTGCCATAGTAGACCCTTGTGGTCTGGTCCTTCCCTGGACCCCGTGCATAGCGGGAGCTTAGTGCACCGAACTTCCTTTTTGGTATAATCAACAAAAGGGTGCTGTTTCTAGTTATTGTGAGGGAACATGCTTTGCTTTTTCAAATGCAATGTTTTCTCTTTTAAAAGGAACCAAATGGGGGTGTTGGGGAAATGAGTTTCATGCATGTGACCTCAAAGGGGAAGGTTCAAGAGCAGTACCTATGAAAGAGGTAAAGGATGGCTTTGACTCAAGGGAACTGTTCATGTGTGGATGTTGGCCCTTTTTGGTCTTGGTTTTTGAGTTTATCATGCAATTAGACTTCTATACCTCTATGCCCTTTGAGCTAGGTATCTGTCGGGAACAACCTCTCTATCTCTATGGGGTAGGACTTAGGAGTAAGGTTTAGTATATTTTATCTTTTCCAGATCTCATTATGGGATTACGGTTTAGGAGTAAGGTTTTACTATATTCTACCTTTTTCAGATCTCATCTATGGGATTACAGGGTAGGAATATCATGAAATTTCAATGCACTTTAATGCTAGCTGTGCGGGACCATCCACTAGGCCTCTACATTATACATGTGAAACTAATGCTAGAGTTTTACTTGTGAAATTTGAAACTCTAGAGTCTCGACTATTTTTTAGGTTACTATTGATGAATTTTTACTAGTGTCTGACTAATTTGTAGATATTTCAATTACTTTTGAATAGTAGTACTTCCAATGAAAAAAAAATGAAACACCTTCTATCCGAAATTATTTTGTTGTTTATTACTCGAGATATATTAACATGAAAAGAATTATAATTTATAGTATTTCTTAATGAATTTCTAAAAGTTAAAAGAAAAATTAAAGTTTTACAAATGAGAAAAGAAAAAGAAAGGAACAAATTAAAGTTTTACACATCCAGCTTGTAAGTCAAGTAGTAGTATTACTTTTCGAATTTTCAAATATTGGTAAAGCTTTTTTTATTGGAAAATAATAAATAGTTCTAAAAGCACAAGTGGTGGACCCACCACTGTTAGAGTGAAATTCCAAGTAGAAATTGGACATTGAACTGAAAAATAAATAAATTAAATAGGAGTATTTTGAAACTTAAAAGTTGTGTTTTTGGAAGTAAATTTCACTTATTTAAAGAAAAAAAAAGTGATTTAAAATATTATTTTCCTAATTTGTGATGTTTTTTTAAATAAATACTGCATTGATTATGTGAATACTGACATAAATATTTTAAAAAGAGTCATTTTAGAGGCAATTAGAACACTTTTATACTATAACGTAAACGCCCATTTATATCTAATATAGTTTAATGAGAAATTTCATTTAATGATGTCTAGTTCGTAATAATGTTATTATTTATCTTTAATATGAAATAGCGTTTCTGTTTTAATTATTGTATTATTATTTATTATTACTATTATTCTTTCTTTATTATTCTTCCTTAGATTTTTATTTTATATCTAATTCATTATACTTTACTTGAGCGGATTATTGTTCAGACATAGGTTAAAAATAAGTTAAAAGTTTCGTACACACTATCCTCTGCAAAACTTCTTCTAACACTAATTGCTGATACATGAAGTGGTTTTTCTCAAAAGAAAAATATATATTTATACAGCAGAAAATTATTTTTTTAAAATAAATATTCTTTTTATGTAAACATGTAATGTAAAGAAAAAATTAAATACTTTTTCAGTTACCATAAAAGATATATACTCCAATAAATGTTTTTTTTTTATGACTTTAATTTTCCCTTTTATTAATAAATATAAATAAAGACAGAAATAAATAGCTTCACACTGATCTATCGGCGAAACAGTGTTCGAATTTTCCGGGAGGAAATCTGAGTGTTTGGATTCTCCGATCGGAGAGGTTGCTGGCGGCGGTGAAGTGGACCCCACCAATTTCCCGATAAGTGGAGGAACTTTGTCTTTGTCAATTCTCGACACAGTTTTTTGTGTATATTTATGAGCACGAGATCTCGAAATTCCCATAACAGGTTTAGCCCCGTTTTTCCTCAATTCTCTTTCTTTCATGCATTTTGTTTTTGGGTTTTGAAGGTAATTAACCCCCACCTATCCCACACATAAAAAGGAGAAAACTTTCAAGTTTTGAGTTGATGTTTTCATAGCTGGGTGGAGGTTAAATTTTGATAAGTTGAAGGTTAGAAATACTAAATTTTGAAATTTTAAGTTTTGGGTTGGTGTTAAATTTTGATAATTTTAAGCTTAGAAATGCTAAATTTTGAATTTTTAAGTTTTGGGTTGGTGTTAAATTTTGATAATTTTAAGCTTAGAAATGCTAAATTTTGAATTTTTAAGTTTTGGGTTGGTGTTAAATTTTGATAATTTTAAGCTTAGAAATGCTAAATTTTGAATTTTTAAGTTTTGGGTTGGTGTTAAATTTTGATAATTTTAAGCTTAGAAATGCTAAATTTTGAATTTTTAAGTTTTGGGTTGGTGTTAAATTTTGATAATTTTAAGCTTAGAAATGCTAAATTTTGAATTTTTAAGTTTTGGGTTGGTGTTAAATTTTGATAATTTTAAGCTTAGAAATGCTAAATTTTGAATTTTTAAGTTTTGGGTTGGTGTTAAATTTTGATAATTTTAAGCTTAGAAATGCTAAATTTTGAATTTTTAAGTTTTGGGTTGGTGTTAAATTTTGATAATTTTAAGCTTAGAAATGCTAAATTTTGAATGTTTGCTTGGATTGTTGAATAATTCTGTGTTGAGTGTGTGTGTGTATTTCCTTTGAATTCAGCTAGCTGAATGTTAAATAACTCGCACACCCTCCTTTTATTGTTGATTTTGTACTTGGGTGGTGTTAAAATTTGGACTAATGCTCGTTTATCATGGTTAAAAGTGCTGAAGTTTGAATCTTTTACTTTGATTCCTGAATATTATGTGTGTGTGTGTTTTATGTATATGCCCTTTGAATACAGCTAGCTGAATGTTAAAGAAGAACATGCCGTGGAATTTGTACTTGGGTGGGTGTTGAAATTTAGAGTAATGTTTGTTTATCATGGTTAAAAGTGATGAAGTTTGAATCTTTTACTTTGATTCTTGAATAATTCTGAGTGTGTATAATATTTATTGTGTATTACTGTATATTCCCTTTGAATTCAGCTAGCTGAGTGTTAAGAACATGGTCGGCCTCCTTTTATTGTGGATTTTGTACTTGGATGGGTGTTAAAATTTGGAGTAATGCCCGTTTATCATGGTTAAAAGTACTGAAGTTTGAATTTCTTACTTTGATTCCTGAATATTATGAGTGTGTACACTTCATTGGAGGATTCTGATTGTACAAGTTTTTTTGGGTCATTTCAGTTTGACTTTTGGGATAGATTGGAGGTGGGAATGAGGCAGAAAGGTCATATATTTGATGGTTTTGTGATCCTGGTGTTTCTGCTCTCAGGTATGTCTCTTTATTGATTGATTACTTTTTGCACTTAATGTTAGGATTTTTGTTTTATTTCCCGAAGAAATGTATTTTTTCTCACTATCTACTTGTTTAAAACTGCACCTCTTCGTTTATTTCTGATTTTAGTAGTATAGCGTGGACATTGTCCTTTTGGTTAGCACATTCATCTCTTGATTTCCTTTCTCTTCTTGGGGTCCAGGAGAACACTAAAGCTTGTTAAAACAAGCTAATTGAGTCTTTAAACAATATGTTTAGAAAAATTCAACAGCAAAAAAGAAGTCCTCCCTCGAAGCGATTTGCATAAAGTTTGATTTTGGAGTAGGGTGAAGATAAGTTCTTAAGGCCTTGTTGTGATTCCAATTATTTTTTTCTTCTTCTGATCTAAAGCTGGATGTTTCATGATGTAGATGTTTTAAATGTTGTCGTGATGAGGATATATAAAAAAATGAAAAATCTTTTCTTGTGTTTTGTGTTTGTGAAGTTTTGCAAGTGAAGCATTATGCATACAATTCATATTAAGTTCATAGAAATTTGCTCATAAGCATGTCTTGGAGCTCATTTTAGGGGAATGCTAATTTATATTTATCTGCAAATTGATAATGCTATTTGATGCCCAGTTTCTACCATAACAAAGGCTACAGAGGGCAAAGATGGCTTCAAGCAGTGCGAACACATTGTCAAGCAGTGGGCTTCTTCTTCACTCGATTTGGAAGTCAAAAATGACAAACATGTCTTGCAGAACTTGCTCTTTTTTCTTCATGTCCCCAGGACTGGAGGGCGAACATATTTTCATTGGTAAAAATGGTTTCCCTCTATAAATTTCTTTTCCTTTGACTGAGTTAAGGAAAAAACAGTTTCTATGAATTAAATCATAATATAATTTATATATTAGCTAATGGCTATATTGTCGTGTTTGTGCAGTTTTCTTAAAAAGCTTTATGCCAGTTCTTTAGAGTGTCCACGTTCGTATGATAAGTTAAGGATTGATCCAAGGTAATATATATCTTCGTACTTTATGCATTAAATTGTTTGGGAAATATTGGACATTACTATTTTCAAGGTTGTTAGATGTTCTGTTAGAAGCTATAAGAATGCCTTTTCCTGGAAACTAACGTCTAGTAGTGATGGAGCATCACCCAAGCACTTATAACTTAATGTTGAAATGAGAAAATGCATTAGGCATTCTAGTGGAGAGCCTCTGAATTCTGATGTTGCTGTCTTAGAAAAAGTAAACACTGCTGATGATAAGGTCACTTCTATCCATTTGATTATTGTTGTACTCCTGTTTGTGTATTTTGGAAGTTAGAGCCAGTGGGTGCATTAAAAAAATCGAAGTATTTAGCTTTATTGAGAAGAAATAAATGGATTGCCAAACTTAAATACAGATTTTATAAGGTCTGGTTGTTTGAAAAAATCCAAGGTAGAAGCTATTAATTCAATCATTTTGTAGTGTGCAGGAGCACTAAATCGCTATGCTTTTACTTCAGCTAGTTTTCCTATGGTAAAATATTGTAACAGAGAAACAATTCTGATTAGCACAATATATTCCATCTATTTCTCTGCTTCCTCTTTTCCTTTTACCTTTTCCATTTCAGGAAATTCATTAATAGTTGCTGTCAATTCTACTACTGTTTGCTGGTGCAGAAAACCAAAATGCCGCTTGTTGGTTACTCATGACGACTACAGCATGATGAACAAACTTCACAAGGATGAAACTTCTGTGGTGACAATACTTAGGAATCCAATTGACCGTGTTTTTAGTGCCTACGAGTTTTCCGTGGAGGTAGCAGCCAGGTTCTTGGTTCACCCTAACTTAACATCTGCCACCAAAATGTCTGGACGGCTGCGTTCAAAAAATACAATAAGCACTCTAGATATCTGGCCATGGAAGTATTTGGTCCCTTGGATGAGAGAAGATCTATTTGCTCGAGTATGTCTTTTTAACAGCATTTGTCAATTCATCATCTTGTCCAGTGAGCTTTACTATCTAAGTTTGCCTCTATAGTATAAACCTTATTCAACTAAATATAACAACCTGAAAAGCATAATTGTCTTATCTAGTTTCTCTTCCTCTTCCTCCAAATGTATTTAGATTCTGTCAATGGCAATATGCTTATCAGATAGTGCCTTACTAGCCACATTGTCGAAGAGGCTCCTTTACTGATCATTCGCTGCTTCCTTGCCATCGGAAGAATAAATTATCATTGTTTTGTTTTCAAGCATGTTCCACAGTGTAGTCTGTACTTTGTATCAGCCATTCTTGAGGCAGTGATAGTCGCGGATGTCCTGTTTCTCAGACATTTATCATACTTTGCCTCTGTTTTATTTAGATGCTTCTTAGTTGCATTTATTTTGTTGCGTTCATATGCTTGTGCTAATAATAGTAGATAATTCCTCTTCCTAGGGTACAACAACTGGTCCAAAACACATAACCTTGTCTATCTATTTGTGATTGATAATGGTGTCTAATCAGTAGAGGAATTGAGATGATTAGTGGAAGTATTCTTATCCAGTTATCATGCTAGCACTGTTAAAGGTGTCAACTTTAGAATATTTCTTTTAAAATAACCAAAAAGAGTGTCAACTTTAGTGAATTTATCATAAAACTAATTAGCATAATAGGAACCATATCTTAACGAAATATCAGGATGCAGAACATTTTTTTATTTACAAAATACAATTAGAATGATTAATAATCTTTTAGTGGGTTTGTCCATTTTGATGTGGAGGAGGGGAGGCAGGGGCAGCAAGGTGGGGGAACTTCTGTCATGCATATTTCTGTAGCATTATGAATTTATCTTGCATAATCATTAATATGCTGCATATCCTCTGGACTGCAGAGGGAAGCAAGAGAACAAAATGGTCATTCTGTTGTTACAAGCACTAATCCATATGATACGAAGGAGATGGTGATGCCTCTACATGAGTATATCAACAACCCCATTGCTCGGGATATCATTCACAACGGAGCCACATTTCAGGTATTGCCTGGTTTTCTATTTACAATATGAAACCTTTCATCCTCCTTTTTCTGCATTATATTGTTTAGAGTTCTACAAGAGCTTAAATTAGGGATCCAGCTCGGAACTTATGGGGGAAGGTTGTGAACGACATGCTTATGTTGGTATTTTACTATAAATCTCAGGTTGTTCTTCTGCTTGATTGATTAATTGTTGTTTAACTGGTTACTGGATCTGAGGTTCGTCTTTTCAGAAGACATTGGCAAACTGAAATGAAATTGCAAATTGATTTCAACTTTGAATAACTTGACCCTAGACCAGTCGCAGATACTGCTTTGTGGGCTAGATGTGCTGTATCATGAAACAGTCTCTTGCTATAAAAAAAATTATTTAATTGAGGAAGTCTCTGGCCTCCTTCCTATTTTATTAGACGTCCACATTTTAAGCTTTTCAGCAACTGTGGCATATGTGTCAACTTTCTTCAAGGTTAACGTCCACACTATCAGATTGAGCTAAAACTATCTTTTGTTATGAGAATGACTTAACCGACCTAACCAAACCAATTATTAGGTTTCTTATACTAAAATCGTAGGTTCTTATATAAATTTATAACTGTACGTCTGTACTGAATAAATTTATACGTGAAAAATATATTTCATATATCAAGTCTAAAAATAATGGAACATTAAAATTTTCGCCTTGAACTTGGGTATGGGAACGACAACAAACCAACAGGTAATTAACATCCAAAGTTCCAACTCCGAAACCTATTATGCTACTCCTATTGAAGCTAAATTAGTTCTAGCATCTCGAGTAGTAACCAGTAAGCTACAAGGTATTAGAAATATTTCCTCTCATATGATTTAAATTTCTCTTAATGAATACTTAATTTTTGTAGACTCAATTCTCGAGTCGCATCTTGTTTGATTTCTTCCTGCTCATGTGATCAAAATATTGTCTTCGCTTAACTTTATTTTACATTACTGTAAAATTGTGGGATGGATCTCTATTCTTGTCGTCTTACATGATTTCTTGATTCACCGCCTTTTAAACTCTAAAAATATCTAGAGAGTTTTTGTCAAAGTCAGATAGAAGTATGCATGGTATCATGTTCTAACTTCTAACGCGTAACTTTTACATGACATTTTTTATAAGCAAATACCAAAAATTAACCAAACCGTACCGATGTCGAAGATTAACCGAGATGATGGGATGGTTTCAAAAAAGTTTAATCTTGGTTATATATAATAAAATAACAGAAACTTGTATGGTATAAATTTTACGAAATAACTACCCGAACCGTACCATTGACACCCCTACTCACAACCCCTCCCACCTCACTGGGGGTCCCTTCTCCCTAACCAAAGGAAATGCTCTTGAAGTTGTTTCATCTTGCTGATAGTGTCTAATTTATAGGTCGCAGGACTTACAAACAACTCCTATCTGACAGAGGCACATGACGTTCGTCACTGTGTACTGAAGTATCAGTCTCTTGGAGATTATGTGCTTAAGGTTGCAAAGGTAATTAAGCCACTCTAAATTAAGTTTGACTCTGAGTAATATACTCTGCTATATCCGCTTCTTGATGATGTCGGAATTATTGTAGATATCTATTAATTTTTGCAGAAGAGATTGGATGATATGTTGTATGTTGGACTCACAGAGAACCACAAAGAATCAGCCACTATGTTTGCAAATGTAGTTGGTACTCAGGCAATTTCACAGTTCACTGGATCAACATCACATGGAGATCATACTGCTAAGAACAGCTCTGGTTAGTTTAGAAGCTATATAATTTAACTGAATTGATGCCTTGACTAGAAATATTCCCCTTTTTCTTGTAACGGCAGCATATAACAGCCAATGGATGAGTGTCAATTCGGACAAGCCAAGCAGTGACTCTGCTATGCAATTTTTTTCTATATTTGTTTCTTCTTGAGGGGGTGGGGTACTGAACCTGTCACTGAAGCTTCCACCTTACGAGAGGCCAATCTTGGTGGTTCCACTTTTTAAAAAAATAATTGTTCTTCATCAAAAATCCAGTATTGTTCAGCACTAGAAGTTGAGTTTTAGAAATCTTTCGAAAGCTGAGTTTATTGAAATGTTTCAACGATTGATTTTTCAAGAATGACACATTTTCTGCTAGAATTTAGTGTTGTTCAAGTTGGAGTGTAGGACACGTGATTGTAGTTTTGACGGTTACATCATCTGGTTTTGCACAGAACAGGGTTCTTCACTGCTAGAATCTGATTTTGATACAACTTATCACCATGTAAGTTCTCATGTCTCTCTTGATATGTGATCATTAATTGTCCTACTTGCTCTAAGTGCCTGTTCGAATTTCAAATTAAGCTGTGATCTTAATCCTTCATTTTGCACAAATTTCAGAGCAACAGCACATACCAAAAGCCCAATCAAATCTCAGCAGCTGATCAAGGTGAAGCAACAAAGGAAAATGTAAGCCCATTGCTATGAAGTCCAAGACGATGTATTTCCGTTTTAACTGCAACATATGCGAACTTCCTAACTTTAACTTTTCTGCCTCCATAACAGATGACTGCAGGAAAACTCATGGATGCATATGAGAGCTGCATTTCGAACTTAAGGAAGACCCAGTCTGAAAGACGTGTAAATTCTCTAAAGAAAATTGATCCAGCAAATTTTACAAAGGAGGTATTGTAGCCAAACTGTGTTCTCTTTTTTTTTTTAGATGAAGTAATTGATTCCATTCATGGCATCAAGAAGATGCAAAGTAGTTACAAAAGAGTGAGCACTAGTATGTTATCTCTAGTACACTAGCATAGAGCAAACAAAATCTAAAAAGCTACCAGGGGAATCCATTGGAGACAAAATGAACCAACTATAAATACAAAAGACATTTAGCTTTGAGCATAGATTGGCTAGTTGAGAGGCCATCAATACGTTTTCTATTTCTTTCATTCCAGATAGTCCAAAAGATGGCTGCTGGTATCATCTTCCAAATCTTTTTGATGGTGTATGTCAACTTTCCAGTAGCTCCAGCATTCAAAAACTTCCCTGATAGTGCTAGGCATTACCCATCTGAGGCCAAAAAGTGTGAGGAACATTTGCCATAAGTCTGCTGTAGCTGGGCACTGCAGAAATAGTCTCAAGTGGATGGCTATGAGTTTCTGCTCCTCTGTTGCACATGTGGCATCCATTCACAGTCTGAATCTTCCTCCTTCCAAGGTTGTCCTGTGTTAGACTGGCTTCATGCATTGCTGTCCAGGTAAAGCAAACAATTTTGGGTGGAAGTTTGACCTTCCAGATTAGCTTCCAAGGCCAATTGTCAGTGATAACATTCAGGTCCATTGCTACCTCGTAGGCTGCCTTCACCATGAACTTTCCTCCATTGGTATTCCCCCATCTAAACTGATCTGGTGCAATGTCATTTCCTATGAACCCATTGAGAGCTTGTAAGAGTTTGAGAAAATTTTCTATTTCATCCTGCAACTGAAAGTTGGATTCTAAAAATTTCCATGTGTGTAATGTTGCACTGTTGGATCTGGCTCCTAAGTTAATTGAAACAAAGCAGGGAAATCACCCTTTAGAGTGGTGTTTCCCAGCCATCTGTCCTTCCAAAACTGTGTTCTGTTTTTCAATCTCTTGCAATTTTCAGTTTCCTTGACAAGCGCAGGTGAACTTTTAAGTATGAATCCAAGTATATTGTTTTTGACCACTTATCATCACAGTTTTAAATTTTATAGGGACGTCGTCAGGTGTCTGAAGCCCTTCTTCAGGAGATGACATCATTAAATCACCTCGACGTGGAGCTTTATAAATATGCCCAGACGATCTTTGCAAATCAACACAAACGCATGTTAGTGAACAAGGTTGTCACGGTAAGTGCCCATGTTACCCAGTTAGTTTTTACTATAGTCCATGCCCTTGATTCTGTGAACGGGATAAATAAATAACTAAGGAACACCTAGAACTTTTGCTTATAATTAAAACATGTGCATGTTATATTAGTTATTTTAGTAGTCTTTTTTTGTATGTCACTCATATTTCATTGCAATAGCTTGTTATAATATATAACTACATTGAATCTGGCCTCTGAGAATTATTATTCACGGAGGGCAGCCATAGAGCAACAGTAAAATTGTCTCCATGTGACCATTAAGTCATGGGTTGAGCAGTAGAATCGGCCAAGGATGCTTGTGTCAGGGTGCGCTGCCTACATCACACTACCTTGGATGTGGCCCTTTCCCGGGTCCTGCATGAATACCGCACCGCACTTCCCTTTTTTTGAAAATTATTGTTCACGCAGCAAATATACGGATGAGATAGATGTGTTTGGTGTTCCAGTGACTTCATTAATGTGTCTTATTATGAGTTGTTGTGGTGTTTCACAGAATCATTTTTCATTCCTCCAATTGGCAATAGTCATTTCGTCTTTATCAGGAATCTAGATAGAGAAATCTTTTATGAACGCTTATCCATCAAGGCGTTCCTTTTACTTGGTGTTGTCGTTTGTGCTCTCTCATTTATTTCAACACATCTTTCATCGTTGCATTCACTACATAGCCCTAGTGCACGTTAACGTCATCCTAAGTAGTTATACCTAAGACATGGTTTTCAATGAGAACATTCTATTTGACAACTGGTTTTTGTTACTTTGCAGAACCAGTTGGACAGTGGCTTTGACGATTCATATCGTGCATTTTCTTGGGAAGCCATCTGTATTGCCGTTTCCGTGGTGTTTGTGGCTCTATTTGCTGTCCTATTTGTAACTGCAAAAAGAAGAACATCAAAACTTAAGTTATGATACCACCAACATAAATGATCCATAAAAAAAGATAGAGAAATTGAATAGGAAGATTGAAAAAAGTTAGCTCAGGTAGCATGTAAGATTGCTCAAGCCTCATTAGTGGAGAGGGAACTACACTCACATGCAATTTTGTGGGTAAAAGCAAAAGCTTATTGTAAAATTTTATGCTTTTTATATCAGTTTTCTGTTCTCTTATTTTTCAGCTGGTTCTTAGTACTTAATACATGTTTCTTCTATTAGTGAGTTGAGCCGGAGGGTTTATCAGAAACAACCTTCCTATGGTAGGGGAAACACTACCCTCCCTAGACCCCCGAAGAGCCTCAAAGAGAAGCAAATAATGCTTATGCCTTTATATTTTCCAAATATGTTTCATTGATATACAGGGTTTATCGGAAACAAACTCTTTATTCTCCTAACGGTAGGGCTAAGATTTGCGTATATTTTATCTTCTTTATATCTAATTTGTGGATTCACAGAGTATGTTGTTGAACATACAAGCACCCAACAGGAGCAATCTCTCCTCAAGTCTCAAATCAAAGTAATATGGTAATAAAATTATAAAATAGTTCAATACAGAACCAATTGAAAGAAGAAAAAAAGGACAGTCCGTAGACAAGTATTCCGCGTTAGTAGGGTTTGAGGAAGGGTTGCACTCTACGAGGGGTTTAATTTAGTTGTTAAGGTACATGACTAGAAAAGTGATGGTACAATTTAAGCATCTAAGGATGTGGTTCAGATGTCCAGTAGTCAATTAAGTATGTTAAAGATCACGAGGTTGAAGATAGTAGATATCTTGTATAATTAACGAGCAGATTGACTCGAACATCATGACTACTACAAAAAAATGTGATGGTATATCTTGAATTTCAAAGTATTTTATTTATTCTCTGTATAAGTGTAAATACTATGTCTTGGAATAAAAGAAAAAGGGAATTATCTCATCCCTTAGCTTCTACTTCTCCTTTTAATAAAGTTGACTAAACTAATCATTATTCTAAATTGATAAAACCTAGGGGGAATTTGGTATAAAAATATATTTTAAATTTCCAAAACATTTTTTTTTACCAAAATCTTTTTTTTGCCAATAATCAAACTTACTTCCAAATAAAGCTCACACTTTCTTTTTAATCACTATCCTCAATTTCGATCAAGTGTAACAATATCATTCGTAAATAACATGCATTTTATGACTTCATTATATATTATATATAATGATTTGTGATGACTTTTTTCATACATATCTTTGTTAAATTTATATTCAATATGGACTAATATTTTTCAGCACCAATCAACACAATTTTTGTGATACTATATGTTTTTATAGATGGACAAACATCGTGTGTAGTGCAAATAATTTCAATTACAATTATTTTCTAAAACTTATTTCAATAAATAATGATTCAAAAATACAAAAAAAAATAAAAAAAAATCATTTCAACAAAGAAAACTGTCAAATCAGCACGCAGTAACATTAAACCATGTGCATTATTGATCAAATTATTATTGTCAGATTTTATTTTTTTATGGGGTAAAAGAAAAAATAGAACCAAAAAGATAAAATTCTTTTTAAGAAATGACATATTTACTGTTCTACCCTTTAATGAGAAGGACCATCACCAATTTTGGACCCTACTCAACAGCTCAGCAATTATCATATACTAACATTTACACCGATCTTAGGTCCCATACAATCAAAATTATTGAAAAACTTATTTATATCAGTAATAATAATAATAATAATATATTTAGTATAATTTTATTAATAAAAAATAAAGATAGATGGTTAGTGTTCCAGAAAAAAAATATAAAAAATTTATCAAAGCGAGTAGCCTTAATTGAATGTAGTCAAAGAAATATTTACGATAAATTTTAAGAATCTGATCTAAAATCTGCGGTCAACTATTAGCTATATTTTCTAAATATTTTGACCAACAACCGACTAACCAAACATGAAAAAACTCTTTCATAATCCATACCAAACACACCCTTACACTATTATATTTTATTTTTTTCTGCACAAAAACCTAAATTCTCAAATATTGAAATTCCAAAACTCCAAATAAACACCATTCAAATTTCAAAAAAGAATATTATTTTTTATTTTCCCCCATTTATAATAAAATAAAATAAAAATCTATTTGTTTGTTTTTCCTCTATCTATATCCTCACTTTCTTACCCTATCTTATTATTCCTCTCTTCTCTACAAAAACCTCTGCTTTAACTTCAATGGCATTTTCAAGGGTTTAAGGGCTTTTTTTGGTTACAAATGTAAGTACACCTTTCTTCTCTACATGCAAAAATAAAAAATAATTAAAATTTAGTACTTTTTCCTCATACCAATTTCACCATTTTACCAAAAAATTTATCTTTTTGAGTAACCCCACCTCCAAACCCATGTCATTTCAGCTTCTTGAAGCAAAATGGGTACAAAAAAATTGAATTTTTAAGCTATTTTTTGAGTGAAAATGGCTAATTTGGGCTTTTGGGTCACTGAAAATGTATAGTTCTTGAATTTTTTTTGTTTATTTGGGATTAATTTTGTCTATTTATGTTTAGCCGACATGTTTTCTAGGGCAAGAGTTTTTTTTTTCTGAAATGGTGAGGTTGATGCTTGATGATACACTTTTAGGAAAGTGACTGATAAAACGTCGTCGTTTTTAATTAGGAGCAAAAAAATTTATTTTATTTTAATTATTGGTGTTTTTTCCCCTAATTTTGTTCAGAATTACTACTATTTTGGTGAAAAGATTTCCCTTTTATGCAGTAATCCTTGATTTAATTAATTAGGGGTTTTCCATATATTTGCAATTATTTTGATATATTTTTTAAATAATTAATGTAATGTGGTGTTTTTATTTTTCTTAATTAATTAATGGTAAGTTATTTAGCATAATTAGATTAAGATTCACTTCATATTTGGATTTTAATTAGAATCTTTTATTTTGGTGTAATGTTAAGTACATTTAACCTAATGTCTATTAAATTTCTTTCTTAGCTATTAAGTTTAAAAAAACGTGTAATTTTGAATAGGTAAATAAAAATCCCAACATTATAGATAGGCGTTACTGCTATTCTTTTTTAAACCTTAGTAAAAAAAATTGCTTAAATTAGTGACAGATAATTTTGGAAAATAATATAATCTATATGGTGTGTTACATGTATAAATTATTATTTTTGAATGTTTTTTAGTGGTAAATATCTTGTTATAACTTTTTGGTGTTACAAAGTTACAATCTTTTTTGTATCTCAGAAGAAGATGACTATGGTTGAACATGGTGGTGGTTATATGGATGGAGTTCCTACTGGTCCTATTGTTGATGATGACTTTGATGACATACTCAATTTCTTGGATATGCCCATGGAAAGTTTGGAGGAAGATGGGCTAGGTGGTGTTGAGTGGGATGTTAGTGAGTCGAAGGGTTTTGGACCAATCCCGACCGATGCTCTAATGGATTTTCCGCCTATGCCTCAAGGCAACATTGGCAATCGTCGGGTGAATGCGGTGGCAAAATCACATCCACACCCTCCGGTAAGTGTTATAAGTTTTCTTGTATAGATTGTTAATGTATGAATGATTTGTGTAGCCATATGTGTTTTTGATGTCTTTTGTGTTTAAGGAAATGTCGGAGTTGGTGTAAACTTATGGTTTTGGGGTTTTAGAAGTTGATTCTTAGTTCTTTATTGTGTTGCTGATAAGAAGGGTGAACAAGTGTTGTTGCGTAAGCCCGAAAGTGAGGCTCAAAACATGTTGAGTGTTGTGTTTCGCCTCGCTTTAAGGGCTTAAGCGCGCTTTGACAACAAACATTAAACAATTGAAATTTTTCTTTATTGGTTTTAAAAAAATCAATTTCTTTGTCCATGTGTTTGTATGTTTTCTCCATTTGTGCCTTTTCTCATTAAAGCCCACACTTTATTTGCTGTTTGCGCTTAAAGCCCCGACGGACCTTAGAGTTTGTTTGCACTTTTTGCTTTTTATAACACTAGGGTCTGGTGTGATCTTTGTTTTTGACTTGGAAGTCTATAAACCAGGGTCGGTGTCAAAACTTGAAATTTGTGCCTTTTTTGTTAATGCTCCCTGCCTCCTGAAGAATGAATTTGGCTTTACTTGCACATGTCATGTATCTTCATGTTCCTCCCATGCCTCTGTGATTTTCAATTATGAATTCACATGTGAAAGCAATGGCATGGAGTGAATATTGGCTTTACTGGCACATACCCTTTATCTTCATGTTCCTTCCATACCTCTACATTTTTCAATAATGAATTCACATATGAAAGTGATACCATGGAGTGAATTTGGCTTTACTTGGACATACCCTTTATCTTCGTGTTCCTGCCAGGCCTCTACAGTTTTCAGTTATGCATTCACATATGAAAGCAATGCCATTCTTGTTTGCAAATCCAAGTTTTGAGAAACAAAAAACAGTCTATGTAGTGGTATTGTATGACCATGCTTGATTCCTAATAAAAAATGAACTGTCTTAAGGTGATTGTGTTGGCATTGCTTTTCTTTTTCTTTCTAATCTGTCCCTTTGTCTTTTTTTCTGCTAATGTAGTCCTTTGCACTCCCCAAACAGCCGCGCAGAAAAAAGAATTTGTATTTGTTTCCTTGTTACACATGTTCTTTGTTTGTGTTTTTCTATTCCTCGAAGTTTCTCATTTGTAAAAGCTTCACAAGTTAAGGCCAGGACCTGTTACATGGAGTTCTGCCTGAGAGATAAATCAAATATTGTACCAGCTTGCATAATGTTACGGGATTGAAAAGGAAGGATGAAATATATATTTAACTTTTACTTAAATTGGCGTCATTAAAGAAAAACAATATGGTGTTACTTATCAAAAAAGTGTAATTGTTCCAATGTAGAAGCTACAATAGAAGATTGGGTTGCAGTAGCTGTTCCTTTTCATCTGTTCTGCTAATGAAAGTTCATTGCTGGAAATAGCTTGCTCTAATCACAATCGTTCTTCATGTGCTATAGTATATGCTGGACGTGTAGTGGTATGATGTACTGTAGGGATTGGCCGGGTATAAGAGTTCACCTTGTGAGTATTTTGCTTGCTTAAAGTATGGAATTTGTGTAATGGGGCTTATATAAGTTACTATGATTGCTTTCAACTAGTGACGTTAAGTCACAGTCTCTGCCATAGGGGCTGACTCATTAAAGAACTCTCTATTCATTTTTAATAGTTCTTAAAGATTA